CGCGCACTCCAATCGGTCCACCATTCGTCGACGGCGCCCCCGGGGATGGTGGATGTCGTAGGCGGGCAGGGCGCGCCAATGTGCAGCCAAACCCTCCACGGCGTCCCCATTGGTCGTTGCTCGTTCGCGGGTCGCTCGGAGGTCGCGGGCCGCTTGGGCCCTCGAGCGGTCGTGCTGCGTCGGCATGCGATTCCGATTTGTAGCGCGCTGGCTGGTTGTGCTGCAAGGTCGCTGTGGGCCCCAGTTCGCCGAGCCACGAGTCAGGCGCGTCGGGTTGCTTCCGCTTTCCCGAGGACCGTGCCCGGGCCAAATTCTCGATCCAGGAGTCCTCGGAGCCGGATTCAGCGCCAGCCTTCCTGGACGAGCCACCGTGTCGGCAGGCATTTTGGATGCGCTCCGCGATCTGCTGCTTGTTCGGCCTTTTGGTATCCTCCTCGTGCCCGTCCCCGTCGTCCGGCAATAAAAGGTAGCAATGGTCCCTCCAAAGGCCCGCATGGGGGGCAGGTTGCAGCAACGCGGCTCGTTGAGCGCCTGGGCCCGTCAGGAACCAAATCGCCTTGTCGACCCAGTTCGCGCCCTTCAGCACATTGCCACCCCTGCGTAGGTGTAGATGTGTCTGTTGAAGTGGTCGCATGCGGCCTGGTATGACAGCCCGTCAATCCACCGCTTCGGTATCTTTTGCTTGCTTTCACATATATTCTTCCCACGTGGTCGGGATGGGCGCGCGCGTCCAAACATCTTCTAAGCGCTCCCTGTGGTTGTCGATGCGCAGGGCCAGCTGCGCCCGCGAGGTCTTCGCCATCCTCTCGAGCTTGGCTGGCTGCAACGTTGCATACTTGTTGGCCTCGGCGACGCCTCCGATCAGCGCTCGACCGGCAGCCGGCGCCCTACGACCGCAATCGCCTCCGTTGGAGCCCGGGTCGATGGCCTCGGGGGGGTTCTTCCGCTTGGGCGGCGGCTCCCCTGCAGGCGCAGCCGCTGGCTCAACAGCGGGGCCGGCCCTTCCAGGTCCGGCCCCAGGGGCCGCAGGCGCCCCATTAGGCCCTGCCGGCGCAGAAGCCAGCGGCTGGGCGCGTGCTTTCTTGATCTTGTCCCGAGCTGCTCAGCCCCCCGCCTCCCCGGCGGCTGCCCTCTTGGCCCGCTCGGTTTTCAGGGCCTCCCCAGCAAGCCCGTCGAGATCCATGCCCCCCTGGTCGTGCCGCTTCTGTCTCTGCTGCTTGGCGGCAATGTAGTCGGCGTCTAAGTCAACGTCCATGTCGCGAACCCCGGGGACGGCCGCGTCGTCGGCTGCGGTGGGTGGAGCGGGCGGGTCGGCACCCCGCCGCCATCGCTTTGTCGCTGTAGGCTTCGTCGTTTGGCCTCCTGGGCCGCGGGCGAAGCGTTGGATCTGAATGGGCTGGTCTCTTCCCTTGAGCTCGATCACCCACGCGTCGATTGTCAAATCGCCGTTTGGGCGGCGTGGCTGCGCACGGGCGTTCCACGGCCCATTCTTGGTCTGCGGCGGTGACTCCCCCTCCACATCGTTCCAACCAGCTGCTGGTAGCCAAGATTTTAGCTCGTGCGCCGTCCAAGTCCGAAGGATGTGGAGGATGCGCCATGCTGATGGCCGGGCCGCCACCGCCCTAGCGTCATTCACGTCAACCCCCACAACGCCGAGGTCGTTGCCCCCGCCGTTTTGCAATACCACGTGCGCATTGAGGGTGCCACCGGACCTCGGACCGTGCTGAAGTAGTCGATGCTGTTGTCGTCGAAGCGCTTGATCCACTTGACGGGCGCGCCGGGGCTCGAGCGCTCCTTGGCAAGCACTCGGAAGAATCGTCCATGGGCTCCGCTGCGGCCAAGACTGGGTGCACCCCTGCCGTGGCCACAATGAGATATCCCGTCGCCGGCACCAGTTTTCCAGCATCCAGAACCTCCGAGAAGGCTTCTGCCGCCATGATGGCGTTTTTGTCGGGATCGCCAGTGGCCGCGACTCCTGGCCTCTGGCGCGCCGCCTTCCAGTGCGCGTCCGTCATGAACTCCTTGACCATCGTCACCCGCACGGACGTCTGGTGGTTCAGGCCCTTCCAACTCGTACTTCGGAGCATCGGCTTTGGCTCCCTGGAGGTTGGTGCATTCCAGTTTCTTCATGCTCGGCGAGCCCCCCTTTGACAATCGCGACCCATTGGGATGTGTCACCGTTGTTGGCTGCCGCCGCGTGGTCGTTGGTAGGTGTGTCGGAAACAACCACAGTCATGTTCTTTTGGACCCCGCGTGCTCGGGCAAGCTCCACCGCCTCCTGTTTCTGGGCCGCGTTCAGCACGACGACATCACCGTCTGGATCCCGGCCATCTCGGAGGGCGGCGAGGACCTGCGTAGCCCCTGAGAACTGTTTTCCAGGGAGCCGTCGTTCGTCCACTTTCCACCTCCGGGTGGGAACCAACTGGTTAGGATCAGTGGTGGGGCTCTGATTCGCCGCCTGATTTCTCCATCGCCCTCTGCGCGGTGGTGTAGTCGTAGCTTGGTGGTCTTCCTGGCGGAGAGGAGTTCCTCGAGCCGGTCCAGGATTATTTCGTCGCTGGTGTTCTTGGGTGTTTCTGCCACCGCTTGCTGCAGGATGGATAAAAGGCTACTGCTAGTGGTAGATGCTGGTGCAGGTGCAGTCGTCGGTGTTGGTTCTTGTGCTGCTGATCCGTGGATATGTGTCTTCCTCGTTTTTTGTGAGTGGCCTCACGCTGCTCAATATTGCGCTGACGATGGGCGCGGTATGTTTCTCTTTGCGTTGTCTTTTGGTGGCCCGACTGCCCCCTTGACCCCCGCCGCCGGCACGTAGGTCGAGACGTCCGTCATGCAGAGAGTAGGGTGCCCCTCCACAATGGGTAGACGGTAGCCCATTCATCGCAGCGGTTCCAAACAACATCGCGGCAACGTCAATATTAGAAGCACAATGTACAGATACCGCCGAGTCGACATGCATCAAAAAGTCATCCCAAATCCTCCCAGAACCATCGGGAGTCGCAAGGATGAGTGGTTGTGCTGGTGACGGTCAGCTGACGTGCTGCGTCTGAAGGATGCTCGTAGCGCGTCGTCGTATGGATGCTCGTGCTGCGTCGTCGTTTGAATGTTGTTGTTGGTACTGCTGCTGCTGCTGGTGTTGCTCGTGCTGCTGGTGTTGCTGGTGCTGCAGGTGCTGCTGGTGTCGACGTCGACGTCGTGTGCTGCTGCTAGTGCTGGTGGTGTTGGTGTTGCTGGTGCTGCGTCATTGTGCTAGTCATGCTGAGTCGTGGAGCTGCTCGTGCTACCTTGCCGTACTGCTCGTACAGCGTGGTAGGACTGCCATCGTCTCGAACACCGCTGTAGTCGATCTCGCCCTCACCGAACTCCTGCTGGAGCTGGTGTCGGAACCTCGGACGGAATTGCTGCCTCAATCGTCGTTGTTGTCTTGGTCGGCAACGGGCGTGTTCTCCGACTCCATGGGCAGGAACTCCCCCATCGGAGATGGCATCCTCGTAGGCGGCACCTGGTGGCAGAGATAATACTTCGAATTCGTAGTCCTGGTCACCTGAAGGCGGAGTTTTTACTTCGAAGTCGTAGTCCTGGTCGCAGGGGCGGTCCTGAGAAGATATTTTGATCCACAGGCAACCCCAAAGTATTAGAGACAATGTCAATAGCAAGTAGGTGAAACTGGTAAGGGTGTACATGCTGGTGACCAGAAGGGTGGCCCAGCGCAGCCCGGTCGTATGATGTATAATCGCTCCGAAGATCGGGAATAGGATACAGGATACTATAGCAGAACATGGTTCGAAGTACAGCATGTAAGTAGTAATTCTGATCTGGCTACACACTCCAGCCGTGCAACGTGAAACTCTGGACAGGGCCCGACGGCATGTCGTACGGACCGGGGGGACCCATTCCTCGGCCGCTTCCGCACCTTCCGCTTCCGTATCCGGCACCTGCCAATCTCCTTAGCCTCCCTCCGGTACCCCGTTGCCGTACTGAGGAACCGGACCTGGAAGCAAGAGTCGATCCTGGACTGGTGTGGCGTTGAACGGGCTCTTATCTTCCCAAGGCACCCCCGCACGCGCAAAATCGCCATCATAATTGAAATAGCTACCCGAATGTTGTCGTTGGGACATGGAGCATCCCATTCATGTGCACACATCAAAATATGGTTCCCAGGAGGTGTCGACCGCACCCCATCGACAACTCCGAATTCACAGCATTGAAGTGGCTCTCCCACTGAGCTACTTGTTGCCCCCACCCCAGGAATCAAGCATAGGACCATGCAAGTCCAGAGCAGCGTTGAACTGAACACCCCGTCATGTCTACATACCCGTGCATGAAATAGCAACAACACAAGCACAAACACAACCAGTATTGAATTCTGCCTAATGTATCCCTCCCCTGCCTATCTTGTAGATTTCCCACAGTCAGTCATAGGGGGTGGGTTTGGATGAAGGTTCTGATGTTGCCTCCTCCCCTCCACCTGATCACACCTGTGCATCAAATATAAAGTTAAGAGAACATAACGCTTGCCAAACCGTAGTTGTGCGCCCGGGAGTCGGGAGTCGGGTGAGGACCCGACGTGGACCGTGTTCTCATTCTCCCTCTTGAATCCCTTGCAGCAGCTCCTTGTTCATGAGCGTCAGCCTGCGATAGCTCTCCCTCATCAACGACATCACGAGCACGATGCCCGTCCCCGTGCCCACTGCGAAGACGCTCACGAAGTTACTGATATCGAGCCCTGGACCAAACGGGCCCATGATGTTCACTCCGCTGACCGTCCTCTTTTCGATGGCGTCGGCCAGCTTCTCGGTCCACTGGCCCTTGTACACCACGATGTAGAACCTGAGCACAGCTTCTTCCGGCGCAGAGCCGATGGAGAACGGGTGGAACGCAATGTCCAAAGAAGGTATCTGGATGTACGCGTACTGGCCATGAGCGAACTGAAGTCGACCGGCTTCCTGCACACTGGCGTGAGCATGCTCTTCGTGGAAGTGACCACAACGTCCTGCACGGGCTCATCGCGCCGCACGGTGAGAGCTCCAAGAAATATAAACTGAGCGTCGTGGCGATGAATCGGAAGTCCTGCGACCGATTCTTGCCGACGCGAGTGCCGTCCGAACCTGGTCGTCCATGGTGTGTGCAATGGCTAGGCCGAACAAGACGAACACGAAATGGTGCAGCACGTAGAAACACTCGAACGGCATGTGGCGCCGCAGGAAGGAGCTTACCATCACAATCACCATGAGGACAAAAATGCCTAGTCCTGTGATCATGATCTCGCTCTGCATCTTCTCGCAGAAATCGACGGGCTCGAGAGGGTGGCCGAACTGCCCGAGGTGCTGTCGGCAGCCGTGCCCGAAGAAGATGGAGAACACGTTGGTGGCAACGATGATGAAGAAGCACGTGATGCATCCCAGGGCAATGTGGAAGAAAGTCATGTGCTCCAGAGGGACGAAATTCCGAATCCTCGTTCGAGCAGCAGCCAGGGCAAGAAGGTGGCGGCTCATCGTTACAGGCAGCAACACCATCTGCCAAAGGATGGCGTGCTTGAGGCCAAACAACAGCGGCGGAATCAGACGCTTCTTCCAATAGTTGGGCATTGGCATGCCAGCATCCTCCGGGGCGTGGGCGTCCTTCGCGGGAATCAGCTCGGGGAGTCCCTCTTGCTCCCTGAACTTCTTCAGGAAAAAAATTGACCAAATCAAGAAGGTGATAACGAGATGAACAACGACGAAGAGCGCCCACTGATAGCTGGCTGGTGGCGTACATCGACAAAAGCGCGCTCGCAAATCCGCTCCGCCGCTCTTTCAGCATCCTCTCAGACAGCTCCAGCTGCCTCCTCTTGAACTCGGCGCGGGCCTGCATCGCGCGGACGCTGAGCCACCAAATCTTGCGGACATCCTCGCCGGAGACCTGCTGGCGGGAGTGGTTGCTGCCCGTGGCAAACCAGTGCTTCGTGGAGCTTTTCCTCCTCGGTGACAAACCGGAGGCCGGCGGCTGAGAAATGCCTCCTTCACGCCAGGAGACTCAGGAAACAACTCTATCGCCCCGGCGTGCGAGGGAGGAGAAGTGGATGCACCGGTGAGGTGTCTGGGAGCAGGATCGACAATGACTTCTTTAACCAAGCGCCTGAAGCCTTGAGCCCAAATGGCTACGGAGCCCGTACCACATGTATTGAGCCGCGAAGCTTGCACTACACCTTCTTGAATCACACAGACTGCGCCTCATAGCCTACACCTACGGCATATTACGTATACAAACATCGCTGGCGACACATAACTTGCACCGCATAGCTTGCACCACATAGCGTGCAATCATCTTGCACCACGTAGCTTGCACCGCGCAGCTGGTACCACATAGCTTACACATCCACCGTATAATAACTTACTGTTTGGGCCCCAGGCTGACAAACATCGTGTTGTGTGTTGGTGTGTTCTGGTCTGTTGGTGTCACGAAGCGCTGCCAGATGTTCGTATGTTTTGTATGGGGCTGGCGAAACACCTGCTAGGCGTTGTAGTTGAATAGTTGTTGTCTTGGTCTGAGGGCCCGCCCAACCACAAGCAATGCTAGCCAGCGTGGGCCCTAAACAAAGATTTCTTTCAAAATATGCGGTGCAATCTAGGTGGTGCAATTCACTTGCCGAACTTGAAGTTGTCAACTCCACTGCTCGCGCAATCATCCCACCCACCCACCTGCAACTGGGTTTGGAAAATCTCTTAAGACCGTGACGGTGACTACCAAATAACACTTGGCAACGACAGCGACGCCGACGACGACAGCGACAACGACGACGACGACGCCGACGACGACTACGACGACACCGACGACGTCTCCAACGACTTCGACGACGCCGACAACGACGACGACGACGACAACACCGACGACGACGACGACGCCGACGACGACGACGATGACAACGACGACGACGATGACGACGCCGACGACGACGACAACGACGACACCGACGACGACGACGACGTCAACGACGCCGACGACGACGACGCCGACGACGGCGGCGACGACGACGACGCCGACGTCGACGACGACGAAGACGACGACGACGCCGACGCCGACGACGACGACGACGCCGACGCCGGCGACGGCGACAACGACGACAACGACGACAACGACGACAACGACGAGGAAGGAGAGAAGACGGCGACGACACGAACGACGAAGAAGGAGGAAAGACGGCGACGCCGACGACGACAACGACGAGAGAGGAGGGAAGACGACGACGACGACGACGACGACGACGACGACGACGGCGACGAAATAGGAGGGACGACGACGAGGCGCCGACGACGGACGACGACGACGACGAGGGAGGAGGAGAAAGGACGACCACGGCGACAACGACGACGGGAACGACCACGACGCCAAAGAGGACGACGACGACGAACACGAGGAAAGACAGAGGACGGCGTAGGCGACGACGACGACGAGGACGACGACGACGCGGGAGGAGGGATGACGGCGTTGACGACGACGACGACGACGCAAAAGCGCGCGCGCACGCTTTTGTTGAAAATCCGTGTTGCGAAACCTTGTGTTTTTTGTAAGTTGTTTGGACACACAATTTTGAAATCCTTCCGAAACCGATGGGTTTTGAATGAGATCGGCATACGCGCGCGACGACGCGCGCGTCTGTACGTCGTCCTCTTTTTTTGCAGAGGATTCTCGCGACGGCACACGCGCAAGGACGTTCGACAGATTTCGACATGCGCGCGCGCGAAGCCCGTTTTGTAGCATGTTGTGAAAATATTGACAAACGCATGGTTTTCTTAAGATTTCGTAAGAGTTCGCGCGTAAGCTTGTTTAGCAAATCAGTGTTGCGAAACCGTGTTTTTAGATGCTGTTTGGAAACTCGATTGCGAAATCCTTCCGGCACCGAGAGTTTTTGAAGGATTTCGGCATGCGCGCGCGACGACGCGCGCGTGCGCACTGAACCCATTTTTTTGCAAGGGGTTCGCGAAAAAAGTCTTACGCTAAAACAACAAATGTCCCCGCGTATTGTTTTTTTTTTCACCAGGGAACCTCAGGAAGACCGATCCTGGCCCCTCGGGGATGGTGTAGATTCATTTTTAGGATGGACCATGTGGTCAGAATCGTATATGATTTACATAACCGCAAGGGGGACCAGTAACGCCGGGGGGGGGATAGAGGCTTTTTTTCTTTGAAAAGAGAATTGATTTTAACAAACGAATTGACACATCCCGTGCTCTTGCAAACACCCCACCCACCCACCCGCAAATTGGTTTGCAAAACCCATAAGGTCACGATTGCTATGCATGCTCGGCGTTGGTTGGTGCGTCTCTGCGGCCGCGCCGACCCAAGCACGCGCGCGCAGCGGCAAGCTGGTTTGGCGCGACCGACGCGGCCGCGGTGGCGCTGATCGTTGGGCACATACCAGCGGGCACTTCATTGCGAGTCGGCGACGTAGGCGGGCGCGGTATCATGGCACCATCGACAACGGTAGACGTTCCGGGCGAATCTCCAACGACTTCGACGACGATGCCAACGACGACGACGACAACACCGACGACGACGACGCCGACGCTGACGACGACGACGACAATGACAGCACCGACGACGACAACGCCGCCGACGACGACGACGACGCCGACGCCGACGACGACGGCGACGACGACGACGAATACGACGACGACACGAACGACAACGACGAGAGAGGAGGGAAGACGACGACGACGACGACGACGACGACGGCGACGAAATAGGAGGGACGACGACAAGACGCCGACGACGGACGACGACGACGACGAGGGAGGAGGAGGACAACCGACCACGGCGACAACGACGACGGGAACGACCACGACGCCAAAGAGGACGACGACGACGAACACGAGGAAAGACAGAGGACGACGTAGGCGACGACGACGACGACGACGCGGGAGGAGGGAGGACGGCGACGACGACGACGACGCAAAAACGCGCGCGCACGCTTTTGTTGAAAATCCGTGTTGCGAAACCTGGTGTTTTTTGTAGGTTGTTTGGACACACGAATTTGAAATCCTTCCGAAACCGATGGGTTTTGAAAGATTTCGGCATACGCGCGCGACGACGCGCGCGTCTGCACGTCGTCCCATGTTTTGCAGAGGATGCTCGCGACGGCACACGCGCAAGGGTGTTCGACAGATTTCGACATGCGCTCGCGAAGCCCGTTGGGTAGCTTTTTGTGAAAATCTAGAAAAACCGATGGTTTTCTTAAGATTTCGCAAGAGCTCGCGCGTAAGCTTGTTTAGCAAATCAGTATTGCGAAACCCTGTGTTGTTGTATGTTGTTTGGGAACTCGATTGCGAAATCCTGCCGACACCGAAGGTTTTTGGAGGATTTTGGCACACGCGCGCGACGACGCGCGCGTGTGCACTTCGTCTTGTTTTGCAAGGGATTCGCGAAAAAGTCTTATGTTAGAACAACAAATATCCCCGCGCATTGTTTTTCGCAAGGGAACCTCAGGAGGACGGATCCCGGCCCCCCTGGGATAGTGCAAATTCATTTTCAGGATGGACATGTAATCAGAATCATGTATGATTTACATACCCGAAAAGGGGGCCGATAACGCCGGGGGGGGGGGAGAGTCTATTCTTTTTTTGGAAAGGAGAATCAAAGTGCTGCAATCTAGGTGATGCAATCCATGTGGTGAAACCGTTGTGGTTTAAAGCAACGCAGAGCACTGCGATGCGCAACACAGCAATGCAAAGCAAGGCCATGCATTGCGATGCGAAGCAGCTCAAAGCAATGCAATTCGTTCGAGAACTCCTTTGGAGGGGGGGGGCCATCCGAGGGAACGGTGGCGGCGACGGACGGCGGCGACGGGCGGCCACGAGCCGGCCGGACCGACACCAGGGCCGAGTTACCCTAGAAGACAAATGAGAACCCCACGAACCCCTGAGTGCAAGCACGGGTTGGGGGGGAAACGCCCTCGGTCTGTGAGCGCCGGACCAGAAACATAAAAACATACAAAAAACGCATGCAAATACAACATTGAAGAATTCGACGCGCGGCGGGCCTGTGTCAAGCTCGGGCGGGTAAAACCACCATGCTCTCCGGCAAAGGGTCCCAACTGTTCGCACGAATGGAACCATCGACGCTGGCTGGAGACAGGAGTTGGCCAATTCAATCGGATCAGGAGCAGCACAAGCAGCAGCGGGAATGGGCGCGGGGCAGCCCACGCGTGGCCGTCCATGAACATCCAACGCCTCGACTTGTTCGATGCGTGAGCCCCTGGACCTCACGACCCCTTCCCCAGGGCCGACCTTCCATCCTGAGCAATCCCTGGCCGCCTCGAGACCAGAACCGACCCCAGCCGACAACGGCGACGAAGCGGCCGCCCCGATTGCTCCGAGACGCCGTGTGCCTGGCGCGGCGCCGAGTACACGCGCGGGCGCGGAGGGGGGGTCTGCGCGCCTTGGGCGGCGGCGCCGCCGCCGCGGCCGCCTGCGCGCGCCCGGCGCGAGCTGGGCCAGCCGCGCAGGCGCGCCGGCGCGCTCGCGGGCGGAGGAGCGAGCGCCAGGCGGGTGATCTCGCCGCGCGCACGCTCGCTGAGGACGCCGTCAGGCGGCCCAGGGCACATCGAGGCCCCAGG